AATCCCCGCCCGGGATCGAATCACGTCTCACAAAGAAGTATTTCTCCTGCCAAGCACCGTCTTTATGTTTCATTTTTAGAACAAAAGGGGAGTTGTGGGGTTTGAGCCAAAGAAGAAAACGGGAGTTCCCAAAGGTAGTGAGATCATACACATGAGCCAACTCAACTAAACTTATATCTAGATCTTTGATTGGTTCAGTTTATCAATCCAAAACAAGATTATCTAGACAATGGGCATGGCTTGGATGTAAGAAATTTGGGTGACTTCGAAGAACTTGGAGATAATCCCAGAAAAGGGGTATTTCAGACCCAAACCAAAGGGATATCCGGGAAAGCAGACCCAAGACGAGGAAGCAAAGTCAGGTTGGTGTTTCGGATCGAAGGGTTTGAAGACATCTTCGTTAGAAAAAGTGCCAACCATTTTCAACGACTCGATATCATCGTCGTCGAAAGAACAAGTGTCGCCGTATGATAAGATCCTTTGGTCGACGAAATCATCCTCAGTAGACGCAAGGATGTCCTTACGAGATACAGTCATTTTCTTGCCCATTGTTAGTGAAAGGAAAATTTAAGGAAAATAAGAGAGAAATGTACCTTCAAAGACGACTGGATGAAAGATTAAAGACGCGCAGAAGAGTAGATCTAATCTATTGACTCTATTTATGCTAATGGTAGAAGAAAGAGAAAATTTGATTAGACCCGTTAGGATGACTATTGAACGGATATCCGTTCAGGTTTAAAATTCAAAACCCCTTATCATATTTATTTCTTTTTATTTTTAAATTATCCCTTTGAATTTTGGCATACTAACTCCAAAATATTTCACAGGAATAATTTGGGGGCAATTGTTAGGGCTAGGATCTCGGAACTACTATGATATCCTCAAGTTTAGGGATCCTTACAAGCTCATGATCCTCGAACCTCAGGATCCCAGATATACTCCAGGATCCTGACTAATGTTTTTTAATATTTATAATTGCTATATATTCTTGTCTTTCTCACATGTGCAGAAATAACCAGTCAAAGTCACACTCTCAATGAATAGTCGTCACAACCATCCAAAAGACCTAGAGGACCAAGTCAAGCAACGACTATAAGTTGATCTTGGAGGATTTCAGAATTTTCGAAGTTTTATTTATTAGCCTTTGACTATATAAATCACTTGTATTCATCACACTACACATGATTTTTAGGCAGCATACTGGCACTTGTACTCGTATTCATTACATTTTCTCTGTAATCGTTCATTTCAATCAATAAAACCATCAAGGCAGGTGATCATTATCACCTCCCATGGTTTTATGCTGGAGATCCTAGCAAGGATCAAGGGCTTTCCTTGTAATCTCTGGTGTAATCTTGTTCTATTTCGTCAATCACTTCACTAACAACACCACAGCCTCTCATACACTTTGGTTGATATCCACTTGGTCGATTTTTTTACCAAAACAGGTATGTTGTTATTATTTGGTTTTCTAACCTAAATTGGTTTGGAATTCAAAATATGATATGCTATTATTATTTGTTTATGCAGCTCTTGAGTTACTTCAAAATGGCTACAACAACTAAAATAAACAAAAAGAATATGCATGTTTTGCTTCAAACAAAAACAAATTGCCCATACAAAACCCTTATTGGATTCATGTATGACTCATTTCACTAAATTTAGAATGCAACATGTTTAAACTATTATTTTAATAATGTATAGTTTAAGTTTTTTTAAAGAATTTTTAGCTTTATTCTTTTAGAATGCACTGAACTTAGAATGCTTATAGTGATTTTTTTTAAAGAATTTATAATTTTTATTTGTTCGATTTTAGAATTTTTTTTAGGAATCATACTGTTGCATTTTGATAGAATTTTAGTTAATCATTTATATATTGAATGTGAAGTTGTTACACAAGCACCACCATAAAATATTTGGCAATGCATTTATGGAGAAATTGTTCACCGATCTCCTAAATTGTTTCATAAGTTTTATCAAGATTCAAGCTTCTTAAACATCTTAAGTTTTATTCTTAAATAATTTCGTTTGTTATTCTTTCAGAATGTTATTATTTTTCAAGAATGTTTTTTTATCACATTCAGACAATGTAATTATTTGATATATTAATAGTTTTAGAATCATTTTTGTGTATTCTTTCATAATATACTTATTCTTGTTTTCTTAAATAATGTTATTTGCAAAAATTAGATTTCTAAAGATTGGATTTAAGTATGTATTAATTCTTGTTTTCCTAGAGAATGTTATTTGTAAAAATTAAATTTCTAAAATTAGATTTCTATATATTCTGAAAAAATGATATGGTAAAAATTAGATTTCTATGCATCCACAAAGAATTATATTCTACATATAAGATTTGTCAAATGATGATATTGTACACATAAGAATTGTCAAAGAATGCTATTGTAAAAACCAAAATGGATGAATTTTGAAGCTGATTTTCAGAATCGACTATGAATACATACAATATTTATGGATGTTATAAATGTTTTAAATATAGAGAACTAATTATCCGTTAAATTTTGTATTTTTTTCTTCTTTTAATGTAGCTTAATTAACTAAATTACCCTTACAAGGATATTAGTATTATTATATTGTACATCCTTTCCCATTTTAATACCATACATCCTAAATCACATCCCTTCATTCTTTTCATTCGTTGGTCCATAATTGTTCCCACGACCACACAGTTGATGTGGTCATTATTAGAACCTACCCATATATATATATATATATATATATATATATATATATATATATATATATAGAGAGAGAGAGAGAGAGAGAGACACAAACACAAGAGAACTGTTGCAACCATTCCAAACCAATAGTCACAACCATTCAATTCCAACTGTTATAGCCTATACTTCCGGTTCTTCCTCTTAAGCTAGACTTATTTAATTCCCATTTTTCCTTCAAGTGATTAGAAGCTCCAACTTGCACAAAATTTATGAACATACCTGTCATTTGATCTTTAGTACTATAATAGTTCACTTCAATTTCTTGATTGTTGACCAATTCACGAATGAAATGATACTTTATCCTTCATGCTTGCTCTTTTTATGGAATACATGATTTTGACATAGAGAAATAGCTATTTTTATCACATAAAGTTTATGTAACTTCCCCTTGAGAATGGCTTAACTCATTCAGAACTGCTCATACCAACAAATCTTGACACCCTGTAATAAAAGAGACATGTATTCGGCCTCTGTAGATGATAAGACAATGACACTTGCTTCTTAGATTGCCATGACACCAACCCTGATCCAAAATTGAAAATATTGCCTACTATACTTTTACTATCATCTATATTGCCTCCAAAATCACTATCATTAAAAACTATTAGCTTTATTTTATCAAATTTTCCATATATGATCCCATGGTTAATAGTTCTTTTTCACAAACCTTAGTACTCTTTTACTAGTCTTCCAATGACTTTTTTTGGGCTCCTCCATAAACCAGTGAATTATGTTAATGAAAAAAGTGATGTTTGGTCGTGTTATAGTTAAATACATGAGACTTCCAACAAGACTACAACATATACTAGAATTAAAGTTCATTTCTGAGGTATTCTTTGAATGTTTCAAACTATATTCCATGGGGGTAGATTATGAACTTGAATCATTCATGTTAAATCTAACAAATAAGTCATTGGTGTACCTTTTTTGGGAGATTGAGATAATATATTTTTCTCTCTTTACCTCTATACCAAGGAATGAGTGTAGGAATCCCAAGTTAATCATCTTAAAATCCTTTTTCATGAATCTTTTATAGTTTTTGATCCTTTATCTTGAAATTCTAATGAAAACCATGTTAGAGATTAAGCACTTCGACAAACGGTAAATGACTTCTTACACACAAAGGAATAATGCAATAAGAAATAAGAACACAATATTTAACATGGTTCACACGATCTGATAAATCGATCTACGTCTATAGGTAAATAAAAGAGAAATAGATAAATAGAGAGAGAGAGAGAGAGAGAGAGAGAGAGAGAGAGATTTTATTGATAACGGTCAAATTACATGTTTTTGCTTAGAGTTACACTAATTCATAAGGTATCTATTTATAGGAGCAATTTGACCTAAGATTTTTGAATAAGGCTGAGCCTATGAAACACTAGTACAAAACTGGTCTTTGGCCACGCAAAAAACCTATCACTATAGATATTTTATGATGATTTTTTTTTCATTCAATATGAAAGGAAAGGTCGCATCATTAAAGCTAAGTTATGGTGACATTTAATTGTGGTGATCATAACCCATAAAAAACCGTTACTATAGGTAAAAACCTTCACCATAAATCATTTTTTGATAGCTGTCACCATATACTACTTTCTCTCACATGTTGTTTTGTTTTCATGACTATTGCTGATTTTTAGTGACACGTAATATATTGAAACATGACCATAAACTAGTATTAGTCACATGTTTTTTCATTTGTCATGGCTATCATTGACTTTTAGTGACACATAATATATTAAACCATAACCATAAACTACTTTTAGTCACACGTTATGTTCCTTTGTCATGACTGTTATTGACTTTTAGTGACACATCTTTTATTAAACTGTGACCATAAACTACCATTAATCACATCTTTTTTTCGCTTTTCATTACTACTATTGGCATTTAATGACACATAATATATTAAACCATAACCATAAACTATTTTTAGTCATATTTTTTTTGTTTTGTTATGACTATAATTGACTTTTAGTGACACACAATAGATTAATCAGTGACTATTATTAACATTAAATCATACTTTTTTTTATTTGTCATAACTATTGTTGAACTTAAAATCATTTATATGCCAAATAATTGTTGAACTTAAAATCATTTATATGCCAAATAATTGTTGAACTTAAAATCATTTATATGCCAAATATTGATCAATTAACATCATATACATTATTTTGATCAACTTAAATTAATAAAAATATTATACAAATTGTCTAATACATTAAAAATGTTTAATATAATTACATACAAAATATACTAGATGTTTAACAACTTAGTTTAAAACAAAAAAAACTAAAAACAATTTGTTGGATTATCGAGTGATTGTTAAATTATCTCATAAAACCCGCCAATTGTTATTTCAATTGTGTTAGTCTTCGTTGTATTTCTATGTGCATTTCGCTGTGCCTTCGAACTGGTTCATGTAATTCCTGCACCTAAAAAATAGTAAGTCCAATATATATATATATATATATATATATATATATATATATATATATATAGTATATTTACTTTAGATTTACCAATAATAACAATGTACTAGTTTAGTGTCGTTATATAACTAATAAATCCTTAAAATACATGAATAAAAGGAAATGTAGACATACGCATTTGCAATCCTAGTAGTAATATTAATTCAGATGTCCCAAGTCAGAGGGCTGCTAGGTCCTGCATCGCCGCCATGCAGCCATTTTTCCAAATTTTCATTGTCAACATACTCATACATGAAGGAGCTGTGATGGTGTGGTAGGAAAAAAGAAAAACCCAAATTTAAGGTAGAATATTCAAAATAATTGAAAAAACACCACAACTTACTTTTTGACTCTGTTTACTTAAATTTGGAATTGGGTCTTCTTTAATTATATAAATCATCTTGGTTATGTATTTAATAGTAGGAGAAAAAATAAACCTCGTAATTTTAATTTGATAATGCAACCACAATGCATTACATGTAATGGTGTAGTAAAAAACTACCTCCTAGAAGATTCTAGGAAAAAAATCCAATTACTTGGACGATGTTTTCATGCTTTGCATTGCCAATGGCATCAATTTCCATGTTGAATTGCTTATGTGCATGTTCTTGTTCCCTGCACGAGTGCAATATTGGAATTTATTAATCTATGAAGATTTGATAGTTAGTTTTAGTCTTATTTGTTTTGTTGGGTTTTATTTTGGCCTAACTACCTAAGTGGTAGTAGTGGTCCTATTTCTAGTATATTAATAAAGCCTTGTAGTTGTAATATTTTTTTATTAGAAAAATGTCATGTGTTGTTATTTCTTCACCCATTTGTATATTAATAAAGCTCAAGTGTTTAACAAACTTCAGATGTTAACAGATGAAGTTCTTTTTTAACATCAAAGTAATATATATTAGAAACATGAGGGAACTATAATGACACCTAACTACCTACATGTAGCATTTCCTATATGAAGCTCCATGAGTTGACCAGGTGAAGGTGCAGCCCATGTTGACATAAAACCAACAACATAATCAAGAAAGCAGGTTTTCTAACAGATACATCCTTTGCACTATCAGGCACCAACACTATCACTATGTAATGAAATCTGCCCTTCACCAGTCTTCAAGACATATAACATGTCGACTGTTTTAGCATGTAAATAATAAGCATTACATTACAAAAATTGTTCAAACTAATGCTAGCATTTAAAATGAAATAGGATTCTTACAGTTCTATCTACAAGCCCTTCTCATCCACCCATAGTGTGAAAGATAAACTCAGTATCCGTTAAACCACTATAAAAAGAATTTGCTACAAACCCATTTGTCTGCATTCGGGAAAAGAAAAGAGACATAAGAATGAAAAAGAAACCATGCACCAAGATAGATAGATATAAAGAAAGCAATATTTATACTTAAGAAGGACTGTGAGAGAAGAAAACATACATAGGGTCTTATAGTTTGTGGGTAAATAGGGAAGGCTTCGGTTAGAGAATAATACTTTAATATTCCTGTAGATATAAACTCCTTCAACAATCTAATTATTTCTCACAATCACTCCATGTTCTTATTTAACCGGACATCCTAGAGCAACCTGCATAACTAGTTGGAACAGATAAGAAAAACAAAAAGAGCATACACATAAGATGGTGAAACACAGTTAATCTGATGTCAAAAGGATTTCAAAGGAGCCTATTTAGTGGTGACGATGATGGGTGGACGGTTGTGCGTATGTGGTGACAACAGTATACACATCGATGGAAACAAAGATAAGGGTTAAATCGATGAACCTGGGATGCTTTATAGTTGCATCTTTACTGATTAAACCAAGCAATAGTATAGTAGGTACTCTTTTTCTCATACCCTCACCCGTCTTCGTCTCCAATCATCTAATGTTTCTATTTTTTTGTATCATTGGACACATACACGGGGGTAGGATTTAACTCGACCTTGGTTTCTCTATTGGCCTCTCTAAGCCATCGATTGAGACATCATCGTAATCCCAGACTCACCTTGAGCAGAAATCTAGGGCTTCATGGATTCAAAGATGACGAGAAGGAGATAAGGCAAAATCTAGGGCTTCATGAATTCAAAGATGGAGGAAGTGGTGGTGAAAATGTAATGGTGGAGGTAAGGAATGGAGATGAGGTCATTTTCAGCCCACACACACTGAACGGAGGTGGCACATGGAAGGCGGAGCGGAGGGAAGAACTGGTCGATCTAAGGGTTTAAGGGTAAAGACGAAACGACGACCATAAAGAGATACAAGAAGGATCAGGTCTAATTTTTTTTAAAACAAAAGTCTAAAAAATCACTACCTCCATCTAATATTTATTGTCCACTTTTCACTTTTTTTGATCTATTTATTCTTCAATTTTGACCTTAAATATTTTTGTTTTTATATATAATATTTGATGCAAAATATATGAATGGATTGTGTTTTAAATATATTTTCGTTGTTATAAGTTTCATCAAGTAATTTATAACACAAATAAAAATATTTAAGGTCAAAGTTGAAGAATAAATATTTCAAAAGTCAAAAGTGAACAATAAATATGGGACGGAAAGAGTATTAAAATTTTAGCAAACAGGGAAAATATCAAATTTTTAGATGGCCGAAAAAATTGAACTCCCTCTAAATATTGGTTTCACTTTTCAACACTCCATACAATACTGGTTTCGCTTTTCAGCACTATCACCATAAAACACTTATAGTCACATGTTTTTTTCTTTTATTGTTACTATTTTTTAGATTTAGATACACATAAAAATTAAAACGTGACTATAAAATACTTTTAGTTACTTGTTTTATTTTTTTAAATGTCATAATAAAATACTTACAGTCACTTGTTATTCTTTTATATTCAAAATCATTAATTTTAGACAAACATATGAAACTTAACTGTTAGTATAAAACACTTATAGTCATATATTTTTTTTTAATTGTCATAATAAAATACTTACAGTGACAATGTTCTACCGTGACTATTGGCTAATACTTGTCACATTTTTATGTAAAACAGTGACAAAATGTGTGAAAAGAGTTTGCAAAGGTGACAGTTTTTAGCAAATATGTAACTAAAACATTATTGAAATTTGATTAATGACCTTTCATGACTCAATTAGCCAAATCCGTGACAACATTTTTTCTAAAAAGCGTCGCCATAGGTCATTTTTGTACTAGTGAAATGACTCTGTTAAATTTGATCTAGACTACTAAAAAAATACATCAAGGACCTTTTAAACCAAAACCCAATAGTTGGTTGGGTTACAGTGAAATTTACCTTTTTTCTTTTTCTTCCTCTGAACATCGAATCATCCTTCAAAGCTTACTTCATAGAACCACACTGAATCAATAACTTGGAACACCAATTTTGACTTTAGCCTTGACCGTTCAATTCAGTCCTTTCTTCTGTTTCGATTCACAAATTCATTTCAATAAAGGCTAATGAAGAACACCAATTTTGACTTTCCACTATTGAGTTCAATTTCTGATTTCATGTTCTATAAACACTTCGATAAACAATCTTTCATTTCTTAACAAGTGGTATCAGAGCCAAACCATGAAGATTCAAGCGATCAGTTCATGGAACGGTTCCCGATTTGACAACATTTTTGCGTGATCAATTCAAGATTCAAAATCTTTGGTGAGCCTCTCCAAATTTTCTAAATCATGTACATCTTTCATTGAAAATAGAAAATTGTCTCATTGGAAAGTAAAACTTTTAGCGGTGGGAGAGCTACTAACTTTGATAAAGTTTATCCATGGGAGTATTGCCACGTTTTTTACAAATATTTTCGAGTTCTATAAAAAGTGATTTTGTTTGGAAATGGCAGAACTATATTAAGAACCATTGCCAAAAGGAGAGACAGGGCGAAAAAAAAAAGAAGAAGTACAAAACAGTTACAAAATACAGACAGGAGAATCACACCAAATAGCCCAGTTACAGTTCCCATACTTTCCCATATGTTTTACCCAACTAAACACCATAGTAATAATATTATCCGCCAGTTTCGAGGAAGAGACACACGTGTTGTTGAAAACTTTGTCATTTTGGGCACGCCAAACACACCAAAGGTAGCCATAGAAGATGGCTAAAAGGAGCTTTCTTTTCTTAGGACAATTTCCCCAATTGGCAGCAAAATTAACCATCCCGGCAACAGAAGAGAATTGTTGGAACGAGACCTTACACCAGTTCAAGATTCTATGCAACGTATCTTGAGAAAACGAGCATCCCAAAAAAATGTGCTCAATATCATCCGACCCTGATGTGCTGCTATGACAGGTTGTGATAGGAACGTTAATTCCACGATGAGAGAGTGGTCGAATAAGGAACACGATCCATGCAAGCCCGCCAATTGAAAATAATGACTCTAAGAGGAACTAATCTGCACTAAACAATAGGATTCTACACCGGATCAGTCAATTTAGAATCATTCTTATTTCTAAGGTCACGAACGTAGAAATTCCCATCCGAGGATCAAGAACATCTCCAAGAATCCCCGCCATCATTGATAACCACTGAATCCAAATAAAAGCAATGATATCAGAAAACTCATTGACCTCCACGAGGTTATTGGGAGCTCGTTTCCATGCCCAATTAATTGAATTAGGGCCCATTCTCTCAGACACCAAAAATGATTTTTTCTTGTCCAGTTCAAAGAGAGAGGGGGGAGAGTAGCAAGGTTGTTCATACCAATCCATTTATCACGCCAGAAGAGAGTACTCGCACCCGACCTTATGTGAATATAAAAAATGGAATAAAAATCAATTTCGATATCTGCCATATCATGAACCATTGTAGAAATATTGTACCACACACCATGGAAAGATTTTTTAGCCATGGACTTGACATGTTTTTTGTCAAGATTATAAATCCCACTAATAACTATAACATCCCAAAAATCATAAGTACAAATTTCATTTTTAATTCAACCAAACATCCATCAAATCATCAAATCAAACCATCAAAGTATGCCAATGTGAAAATAGTTATCAGAGTATAGATCCCAAAATCATAAAAATGTAGAAACATGAGTAGATGCATTGCGATCGGGTCGGGCCCTTTCCCTTCAAACTAGAAGTACCTAAAACATAAACTTAAACCGTAAGAACAGAACTTAGTGAGTTTCGCAAATACCACATACCATAGGTAACATCCATTAAATTCATGAAAAAGTTAAACTTATAAAACAAATCATAAATCATTCTTGTTTACAAAATAGTTTTCAAACATGATCATTATCAGAGTTTTTCCCAAAATCGTAAAACAAAACTCGAGGAGGTGCACGATCACGCATTCGCCTTCCAGCGATCCTCTGAGGTACCTGAAACATAATCCAAAAACTGTAAGCCCAAAGCTTAGTGAGTTCCCCCAAAATACCAATACACAAACAATAGCACATATACAATAACAACATGCAATGGGTCCACTGCTAACAGACTGGATTACCCCTGAGCCCACAACATAAGTATGGCTTGCCCTTGGCCCACAACTTATGGATGGCTTGCTCCCCATCTTGATCAGTCCTCGAAATCAATATCGCTAAGCCCTCAATACGAGTCTGGCATGCCCTTCCTGGCCCTCAGCTCGCATCTGGAATGCTCAAGAGCCCTCGGTATGAGTCTGGCATGCCCTCCCCGGCCCTCAGCTCATATCAAGATTGCTCCATGGTTTATTGGCTACATCACGGAGCAGTACAACCTCAACCCAACCCACACAATATGTCAACATATAACATATAATATCATATACAGATAAACAGACAGTATCACAGGTAGTCCTATAGATCTACCAGACTAGCATATCAATACTAGCATGCATATCTATTCCATACTCATCATATCAACAATATCAGGTTATCAAACCAATGGGCCGACCTTGGTGTGTCACACCCCCAAACCGGAACGGCGGAAACTCTCGGGGGTGGATGACGTCATGTACAATATCACAACAATTGCATCATAGTAATCATAGTAAACACAACCATTACATTGAATATGCATGAAAAGATATTTACATCTGTTTGATTCTTGTTTTTGTACATCAAAAGTATAACCAAAAGTAAAAGACGTGACTCTATACGCTCCGTCTTCTCAAAACTCCAGGAGAGGTACCTGTCTACTGATTTCCTGAGAATACAAGCAGTTTTGAAAGAATATCAGCATAAAGTTGGTGAGTTCGTAAGCGTGTTTTTGTAATGAAAACCTATTGATAAATCTGTGAAAAATGTTCGTATGTTTCCAAGAAAATCCAATATTTTCTTTAGTAAATGCATGATAATACCAGTTCCTTCCATAACCACATAGTTCATACTGGCCACGTATAAACCAATATCGAACAGACAGTTGACTATGTGAATCTGCCCTAAGCCCACAACCAAACAAGGAACAGGAAATGAGGCGGAAACCACACATTCCACATTCTATCGAATATTCTTCATACATAGCCCTGATGCATAAACTAAGGAATTATAGAATTAACTAAGATTGTTTGTTACTTTATCCTGTTGTAGTATATGAAACATATTAGTTTGTATGTTTGGTTACTACTAGATGTATTGTATAACGAATTCTGTATGAAAACCTTCGTATAGAATGTTCTGTCTGAAAGACCCTGGCTACCACCAGTATGTATAGTATGTTCCGTTTGAAAACCTTGGTAGTATGTTCCGTTTGAAAACCCTGGCTATATGTTCTGTTTGAAAGCCCTGGCTATATGTTCTGTTTGAAAACCCTGGCTACCACCAGTATGTATAGTAGTTTTATTATTTAAAATAAAACTGAGTATTGTATCCCTGGAATCCTCCGATGTAATGTATAGTAGTTCTATTAATTAAAATAAAACTTATGAAGAATGAAATCCCGTAAACAGAGGTTAGTTTATACTATTGTGAGTCGTATAACCATGCTTGATATGACTGATGACCCCAGCGACGTTCTTCAGGCGTCGTACGGTATGATATTTGTCACCCTAGGCATGCTTGCGTAACTGTAGCTAGCAGTTTAGGTGTGGGATTGTCAGTCCCGAATATATCTATTCACAAATCTCACGCTCTCCCTCCAGGAGACTCTGGTTACACTAAATGTAGAGGATTTTACCAATACCCCGATGGATACAATTGAAGAGTTGTCTCACAATCCTGTATTAACTAGTTTACGTGTAGTTCTGTAATGATCTACGGTATTGTAACCCGTATGTATACTGTATAAGGTAATAATTATACTTCAATAATTATTAAATGTTGTATTTTTGTAGTAATGTATATCATAAACTAAATCTGTCATAG